TTTCACATGTACAAACCTCAAGCAAACCTTATTCAAGCCTCAAATCTATAGGGCCGGACCATGCCATCAGGCGCGACAGGATTTAAAGGAAAGTTCAAAGAAATTCGTTTCTGTGTGCGGCAACTGTAGATTTCCCATACTGGGCCCTTCACTCTTCAAACAGCGCAACCTTAAGGGGGGGCTTAAGGGATACCTTAAGGGGGGGCTTAAGGGTACCCTGGGGAAGGGGGCTTAAGGGGGGGCTTGAAGGGGGTACCTTAAGGGGGGGCTTAAGGGGGGCTTAAGGGGGGCTTAAGGGGGGTTAAGGGGGACCTTAAGGGGGGCTTCAGGGGGGAAGGCTTAAGGCTTAAGGGGGGGGGCTTAAGGGGTACCTTAAGGGGGGGCTTAAGGGGGAAGGCTTAAGGAATTGATAGGACCCTTCACCTTCAAAAGGCCTTGGGGGGGCTTGAAGGGGGGCTTCAAGGTGGGCTTCAAGGGGGCTTCAAAGGGGCTTCAAGGGGGCTTCAAGGGGCCTAACCATCATGAAGGCTTCAGAAAGCACGAAGGGGCTTGAAGGGGGCTTGAAGGGGGCACGAAGGGGGCTTGAAGGGGCTTGCAGGTCGAGACCTTCAAGGGGGCTTCAAGGGGGCTTGAAGGGGGCTTCAAGGGGGGCCTCAAGCCCTTCTCAAGGGGACTTGAAGGGGGCTTCACCTTTGTGAAGCCTTCAAGGGCTTGAAGGGGGCTTTAAGAGGGCTTGAGAAGGCTTCAAGGGAGCTTCAAGGGGGCTTCAAGGGGGCTTCAAGGGGGCTTGAAGGGGGCTTGAGAAGGGCTTCAAGGGGGCTTCAAGGGGGCTTCAAAGGGGCTTCAAGGGGGCTTGAAGGTGAAGGCTTCGAAGGGGGCTTGAAGGGGGCTTGAGAAGGGCTTCAAGGGGGCTTCAGAAGGGCTTCAAGGGGGCTTCAGAAGGGCTTCAATGGGGCTTCAAGGTGAAGGGGGCTTCAAGCGGGCTTCAGAAGGGTTTCAGGGGCTTGAGAAGGGCTTGAAGGGGGCTTCAAGGTGAAGAGGGCTTCAAGGCGGCTTGGTGGGGGCTTCAGAAGGGCTTCAGAAGACTTCAAGGGGGCTTCGGAAAGGTTTGAAGGGGGTTTGAGCAAGGTTCGAAAGGTGTTTGAGAAAGGCTTTTGAGAGGGTTGCGCCGCCTGATCACTTGCGCCTCAAACCGATCACTTGCGCCTCCAATAGCGCCCCCCAGCCTACTCACTTGCGCCCCCCTCCCTGCCTTCCACAATGCCATGATCTAAAATCGAATTCTTTATTTAAACTTTTCCCCCCCTTGCCTTTCCACAATGCCATGATCTAAAATCGAATTCTTTATTTAAACTTTTCCCGCCCTTGCCTTCCACAATGCCATGATTTAAAAATCTACCTCTTTATTCAAACTTCCCTTCCCTTGCCATCCACTATGCCATAATCTAAAATCTAACTCTTTATTTAAACTTCCCCCCCTTGCCTTCCACTATGCCATGATCTAAAACCTAACTCTTTATTTAAACTTCCCCCCCTTGCCTTCCAATGCCATGATCTAAATTCTAAGTCTTTATTTAAAGTTCCCCCCCTTGCCTTTCCACAATGCCATGATCTAAAATCGAATTCTTTATTTAAACGTTTCCCCCCCTTGCCTTCCACAATGCCATGATCTAAAATCTACCTCTTTATTCAAACTTCCCTTCCCTTGCCATCCACTATGCCATAATCTAAAATCTTGCCATGATCTAAATTCTAAGTCTTTATTTAAAGTTCCCCCCCTTGCCTTTCCACAATGCCATGATCTAAAATCGAATTCTTTATTTAAACTTCCCCCCCCTTGCCTTTCCACAATGCCATGATCTAAAACCTAACTCTTTATTTAAACTTCCCCCCCTTGCCTTCCAATGCCATGGTCTAAATTCTAAGTCTTTATTTAAAGGAGAGTTCTCCATTTGGCATTCATTTTCATTCAAGCTAGGGGGAGGTGCACCTCCCCCCCCCCCCAACCCTTGCTCCAAGCCCGCTCAAGCTAGAAGTGGCTGCACCACCCCCCCCTCCAGCCTTGCTAGTATCATCTTCCTGCACAACGCACCATCCCCTACCTCAAAGCCTAAATATCCACCACCCCCAGCTTACCTTCAGACCATGGGAGATGCACCACCCCCCCCCCAGCTGTTCCCATCCATAGGTTGGGGGGGGTGCACCACCCCCCCCCAGCTGTGCCCATCCAAGGTGGGGGGGGTACACCACCCCCCCCACCTCCACCCCTTCAAGGGGAGAGATCTTTTGATCCGTTTCGTTTCGCTTCTTTTCCTTTGTGCCTTGTTATTGTTGTTCTCGTTGTTGTTCTTCCTTCTTCTTCTTGTTCTTGTGTCTGGTGTCGTCTGTCTTGTATTGTGCCTTAAACATTACCCCACATAAATTTCCGACGGCTGGTGGGGGGCATGGGGGGGAGGGCGCAGCGCCTCCCCCCAAAGAACACAGGAAGAACAGCGTTCTGGTTTTGATCCGTTTCCTTTCTGTTCTTTTCCTTTGTGCCGTGTTATTGTTGTTCTCGTCGTTGTTCTTCCTTCTTCTTTCTGTTGTTGTCTCTGGTGTCGTCGTTCTTGTTTTCCGCCTTTAACACTAATTATCCCACATAAATGTCGTAAGGCTGTTGGGGGGCATGGGGGAGGCGCTGCACCCTAAACCTACTCCGCAAAAACTACTGGTTTGTGGTCCCCTTGCTGTCTTTGTTGCATTTGTTTTCGGCCCAGTTAGATTTGCATTCATGGACAGGCGTTGACAATGATGGCTGTTGGTTTCCATTTCGGTCGGCCACTACAAAGTTCCTTGCCCAAAGCGATGCAGCAAATGTATTGCCTGGTTATTCCACACAGTGTGGCTGCAGGCATCGCAATCTTCAAGCTTCGCAGCTTCACTTCTTCCTTGGATCAAGGCCCTTGTGTTTGCAGAGTCGCACTGGAAGATAGGATTCGTAGGTGAAGTGTCTATCGCGTCAGTAAGGGGACGCAAGTACGAAAATTGCACTATGTTATTGACTATGTTCCTGCAAGTAAGCGTGCTACCTGTGCTTTGGGTAGTAGTCACAGACGGAACCCCAAAAAAGAAGCAACTTTTCTGGAGGAGAGACAGGAAAGATATCTGTCTTGATCAGTATTGGGGACATTTTGTGTGTTGCAAAGCAAATGGGAAGAAATCTTGCTTCATGCCAGATGATTCGATTGATTGCCTGAGCGTGCTGGTATCCCTACACCGTTCAATATTGTTTACCATTCCCTCGGACACAGGGTTCAAATCAATTTTGGCCACTAAAGTGGTTGATCCTTGCTGGTGAGAAATAGAAGCGTATGATTTATTCTTAATAGAACAGTCATCATACAGTAAATACAGAGATATTATAGGATAGTGTATTTCAAACATACACATATATAAATGAACAGATATGTATACATCCATAAAACAAAAATATATAGATATACATAAATAGTTAAAAAGAGCTAAAATCAATGTATATGTATGTCTCTCTCTCTCTATATATATATATATAAATATTTATATTTGAAGTGAATTGTGGAACGACTGAAGACATGTCATCGGGGTGAGGGTGCGGTTGCTGCAGTCGAAACAGCTGTTGAGATGCGTCGGGCGCTGGGGACATGGTGCGGACGGGCCCGTTGGCGTACTGGAGCCTTTTTTGTCCTGGGTGTTCTTGCGTCTGGTTGTGCGCTGTTGGCTTTGTTGGTCCTGCGGTTGACACAAGCGCAAAGTAGAGCTGATGTAACCAAGAAGCATCTTGCGTGTGGCATGTGGTAGCGGAGGAGGTAGCGGAGCCGTCTCTTCAGTGCCCGTTTGCGGCTCCTGCAGTCGAAACACCTCTTGAGATGCGTCGGGCGCCGGGGACATGGTGCGGACGGGTCCGTTGGCGTAGTGGAGCCTTTTTTGTCCTGGGTGTTCTTGCGTCTGGTTGTGCGCTGTTTGCTTTGTTGGTCCTGCGGTTGACACAAGCGCAAAGTAGAGCTGATGTAACCAAGAAGCATCTTGCGTGTGGCATGTGGCAGCGGAGGAGGTAGCGGAGCCGTCTCTTCAGTGCCCGTTTGCGGCTCCTGCAGTCGAAACACCTGTTGAGATGCGTCGGGCGCTGGGGACATGGTGCGGACGGGTCCGTTGGCGTAGTGGAGCCTTTTTTGTCCTGGGTGTTCTTGCGTCTGGTTGTGCGCTGTTGGCTTTGTTGGTCCTGCGGTTGACACAAGCGCAAAGTAGAGCTGATGTAACCAAGAAGCATCTTGCGTGTGGTATGTGGTCGCGGAGAAGGTAGCGGAGCCGTCTCTTCAGTGCCCGTTTGAGGCTCCTGTCCTTAGCCGTCTTGCGCACTTGGCAGGCATGCAGCATGAGCAGTGCTGTGTGACGAAGGTTCAGTGATGCTACGTGCTCTTTTTTTTGCTGCTGCTTGGGGACAAACCTCATCCCAGTGACGGCATGCTATCTGCAGTCGAAACAAGTGTTCAGATGCGTCGGACGCTGGCGACATGGTGCGGACGGGCCTCTCGGTGTACCGGAGCTTTCTTTGTCTTCGCGTGCTGGTGTGCGGTTGTCCGTGGTTAGCTTTGTTCGGACGCAGGACAGAAGCGCCTTGCGTGTGGGCGGCGGTAGCGGAGGTGGTAGCGGAGCACTCTCTTCGACTGTCCTTATACCCACTTGGGAAGCAAGGGCAGTGCTCTTTGATGCTTTGCGGATGCTTTGGCGCGTGGCCAAGCACAGGTGCTTGCAATCGGGGCACGGCATGTTGATGTGTGTCGCCAGTGTCGCCTGCGTCGGGTCTTTGCGTCGTGCGTCGCTATACACTGCAATCGTGTCACGCCGTTCGTCGTGGCAGGCGCGGCACTTTGCACCCAAAACCGTTTGCGCCCCAACAACGCCGCCACCACCGCTGCACAGTAGAAGATGCTCAAAGACTCTATCCCCTCCCGCCTTTGCATGTCACTGCTCTTCATCCGAATCTACCACGGGGAAATATCCTGCAGCAGTACATGGTGCGAACAAAGAAACATAATGGCATCTAAGATTTGGCTCATTACATGGCCTCCGACACCGTGGTCGTCATCGCAGATCTCTAGGCATTGCCCCACATAGATCTCGCCAGCTTGTGGGCGACGGACACGATTGGTGCGTGCCGCCTTACCACCCAAAGTTCCCAACCGGAGAGGTTCACGTGGTGGGCCCTGCAGCATCGCTAAAGTTTTTTCCAGCGACTCCAAAAATTTGCTTCCGGATCGACCCTTTCGCAGCGGCTCTTCTGCCTTGCGAAGCACAGTGCTCACATCATGCTTCCATGCCACAACTGCGCGGTATTGCCGCCAGGCATCTGTGGCCCATCGAGCAGTGCGATTCATGTTCCGCACGTGATCTGGCCACCATGTTCTTTCCACGGCGGTAGTGCCGAGAGACATGGCCCCCGGCCCCCAAATGCTCAGCACAAGCGCCTTCAAGTCCTTGCATCAGAACACAGGTTTTCATTCAATGCACAGCTGCTATAGGCGCTGCTTTCATGCCATTGTCTTGTGCATGTGAACTGTAGAACTACGAGCTACAAGAATGCATCCAAGCATCCCGGGCTGCTACCAAAGCATTGACCACCACCACTCGGCTCTGCAATCTGTGAACATCTCGCCACGTAGCTTTCAGTGCCGACTCATGACATACCTGCACTGTCTCAGCGTCATCGCGGCGGAGCTTGCCCCTTCGATGAAAGCCACGGTACTGCTGTGCGCTCCCACGTTTGCTTGATGAAGCCTCAGTGACATGGGTATTTGACCCAGGCATGGGCAAGAAGAGATAAGGTATTGAATATCCTACAGCCATGGCTACATGTCACAGCCAAGGCACCATTGCTTTCGAAAACCACGCTCTGAAAGCTGCCAGCTCCTCCAGATACAGCTCACCAGTGGCCTTGTCCTCCCACAGAACTTTCTGCTCTACGTGGCAACCCATGAGGCTCAAGAAGTTGGACATCAAAGCTCGAGGCGGGACGCACCCATCAGAGCGGAAGATGGCTTGCCCGTCCACCTCACGGTTCAAGCATTGCCTGAAAGCAGCTGCCGCCCGTTGCCCAATCTTCACCGAGATCTGCACCTCTCTATTCAGAATCCAAGCCTCCCAAGTCTCTTCCCACCGCCCTTGCAACTCTCCATTGGAACCATCTTGAGGGGAATCTTGTTCCACCATGTGAACATTGAAGACCCTTGCAAACAGTGTGCGAAGAGCCCATGCGGCATGCAGAAAGTCCGCCGAGCGGGAGTTCAATGCGTCTTGTAGTCTCCACTCGACGTGCTTTGGATCTACGCCCACGAAAAAGCCGGACACTTCCTTTGTCTCATTCTTGACTTTGATTCTACCGTCCCTTTCATGAGAATGCAGCAGTTTAGTCACCACATGAACCATTGTTGGCCACATCTTTTCCGTGTTGTCTTGCACCCACCCCAGCGGCAGCGCGTCAGAGTCTACCATCGTTGCTTGCGATACCAGGAACCCGACCATCTCAGCCACAGCCGGGCGTCCTTCTGAGCGCGCGTAGACAACTGGGCAAAGAGGAACATCAAACAAGCCTAACGCCCTAATAGCAGCACCAGGCCCTGGATCTAGCCGAGCATGGTCATCCTTGGGCCTCTTTCTGGAACGGTATTGGCGTGCTTCTTGAAGGGGCGCAGATGACGCGTCCACTGCGAGAACTGCTCCAAAGCGAGCACAAACCCATCTAATCTCATTCTCAAGGCGTGGCAGTTCTACCTGTTGGAAGCAAAGGAGCACGATCTTGGCCAAGGTGCGAGGATCTGGTATGCCTCCTTTCAGGTAAAGAAAAACGGCTTGCTGTACTCGCGTTTTCTTGGCATCATCCGTGTTCTGAAAGTTTGTCCCCACCAGGTCCATGTATTGCGCCCGCAGCGCTTCTTGATTCCACTGCTTGCGGTAGACACGGCACAGCCAATCAGTGAGGTTCATCCGCACGACTCGTTTCAACAGCACATCTACTTGACATGTTGCAACGGCGCCGTGCGGCAGCCGGATGCACTCTGTTTTGGTGGTTGCCATTACGCGTCCCAGCTTGCACTTCACACAGGTTGCCACAGGCAGAACCACATGGAAGAGGTTTTCTTTTCCTAGCCCTAGCTTTTTGGGCGCCTGGAATCCATTCCGGCTCATGGCCCCACCACACTGAGCACATCTGCACTGCTGCGGCGACACCAATGTGCTGCCCTCATCTCGATACCACACAACGACAATAGGGAAATGTCGCCTCAGTGCCCGGAGCGTCCCAACCCAAGTGTTGTCAACCTTCAAACCAAAGCCAAGCCAGCTATGTTTTGCATGCTAAGAGCCATGCTAGTAGCAAAAGTTACAATATTGACCTGACTGCTTCCGAGAAACCGTAGCAAAGGATAATCGCAAGGCTGCAGTTGCATGTCAACACGGCAGAGCTGAAGCAATTTGGCACAACGCAGAATGGTCACAGAGGACTCACCAGGTTCTACAACAGCTTCGCTGGGGCCATCGTCCGTCGACCCATCCGAGGCTCTAGGATCTGCTCGCCGCCAACACACTTTGCTCAAATCCAATGTGAAATCATGCTTCCACCCGAAGCGAGGTGCCAAGCAAACCACTTTGCCCTTGATGTCTTTCATGTGCCTCCACTGTTTCTCATACTGGTCAATAGTGAAGCAGACACAGCGTGGGTGTCTTGCACATGCATCATTGCGATGAACCACACCAGTTTCTACCATCTTTCTTTGCCAATCAACACGCAAAATCACAAAGCCATCGCCCGCAGGATCGGGCAACACAACTGAACCTTTGCGATACTTCACATGGCTCGGCTCTACACTAGCAAGCCCGTCTGAATGTTCGCAAACAAGGTGCTGCAAAAATTCGCCTGCTGGCATTCGCTGACCATTGCGTGTGAAAGCTCTCACTCGGGCTGAAAATTCGGCGGCGGCAGGCCCTTCTCTTGCCAAAAAGTTCCCTGCTATCACAGGCCTCCGTTCTACGCCAACAGTCTTGGCCCATGCTTTCATTTTCTCATGGTAGTGCTTGCTGGCAGCATTGTGCCCTGCAAGATGGCTGAGAACAGCCAGAAAAGCTCCATCCCGCATTTTGAATGTACCATCTAGATGAACACAATGTGTTTTGCAATCCACCTCCAGCTCACCTGCATGGGTGACTCTGAGCCGAGACCACCTCCCTTCGACAAGGAGAGCTTCCTCGCACGATGCCACATGAGCGTGAGAGCCACTGCATATCCACCCACCAGCTCTGTTTCCGCAAGCGCTGCACTCTTCGCCCACATCCAGCCACCTACCTCCAAGCCTGCTCTCGGAGGAGCTCGGCACTGCTGCTTCCACAGCTGCGTCCAGCGTCGCGACTCCATGTCGCAACCAGCACGTAGCACACTCCTGCGAAGCAGTTGGACCAGCAAAGTGCGAGCCGCAAACACAGACAAATTTACCATCTGAGGTCTTTGTGACGCCGTATGCTGGGAGTCGTCTAGCAACAGCTTCGGTAGCAGTGGGGGCACGCATCCACATAGCTACGAACGGAGTTGTGGGCAGCTCTGTCAAAGCTTTCTCCTGCGAAGGCAAGAATTCAGAAACGTCTGTGGATATAAGCTGTTTTTTCCATTGCTTTTCAAGATCTATGCGCAAAGAACAGTCAACTTTAAACCTTTTCCTTTCCTGATCCCGCTGCGACACTGTGTCTGTTTTTGCGTCATCTTGGCCGCGACATGGGCGCCAGCCCGCTGCCTCGTGTTTGTGCAGCCACCATTCAATGAATGTCGCCTACACTTCGAAACCTCGCTCAACAACACCCTCCGGGCACCCGAGATCCTGCAACTATTCGAATTTCCTGCCCCCATTCCACATTTGAAACCACTGCTACCACGGTTTCTGCGCACAAGACTGAACTCCATTCCCTGCCTCGTTCTCCTCTCCAAGCTTCCGCTGCGTGCTCTGCAGAGCGGCCTGGGAGCAACATCATTCATCGAACCTGCTGTTGCTGTTCTGTTTTCCAGCTGGCAGCAGGAAGGCCGCTCAAGCTCACTCAGCTCTGGACCCGTCGGGCCGGAACGCGGCCCTGGCGCCCGTCCGACATCGTATCTTCAAACTGAAACGCTGGCATTTTTTCACGGGGCTGCAAAGTCGCGTCATGTTCATGCAGTAGCCCGTGCGTATTCGCAATGCCATGTCAAGTTTAACAACACGATATGCACAAGTATAGAATAAGGCGTTGCGCACACAAAGGTCTTTTTTCACGCCAAGCATTGCCGAGGCACATTGATGAATGGAACTCTTGCCAGCACTGCTCCTGTCCACTGTTGTCCTGTTCATACATCATACATCATGTCCACCCTATTATACCAATCTACGCCTGATCGCCTCTCACCTACTCTACGCACTGGACCTGACTGCACGCTCCCGCTTGGCATCACGTCTGGCATGCTCAGCCTTGATAGCTTCTATGACAGCATCATTTGCTGCCCAGTCCGCTAGTGGCTTCATTTTGAAGCTCGGAAAGGAGTCGTGCCCAGAGCGCTTCACTGCAACAATTGGCTGTTCCAACTGGGCGCTCATCTGCAAGATTGTTTTGCGGCGCTTTTTCGCCCTGTCGTCATCTCCTTCACCTTCACCTCCAGGAGTCAATGCAACTTCCACCTCCACCAAACAGCCATGCTTCCGCAGCACCTCCAACCCTGCCAGCATGATGCTGCGATTTTGGTTTGGGCGCAAGCGCTGCTGGACATTCGCCCAGGTGACGACATCAAAGCGTTGGGCGACAGCTGCAAACAGTAACGTCGCAGCTGCATCAATGGATGAGGCCGACACATCTCCGACATCCTTCGTTGCCGCTTGAACCCCGCCACTCCCTGCACTCTTGCACCTCAGAATGAAGGGGGCCCAATGTTACACACTGTCTTCGAAACATTCCTGAACAGAAAGCAGAGACTACATACTGTACCTTCATCTGAAAAAAGCCCAGGCGCTTTGGACACACATTGCTCTTCTTGTGGTCCACTTCGCCCACGTTCACCACGTAACGCTCAGCCATGAGGAGGCTGAGATATATATATTGATGGCACCTCGCACGTCCATTTTCCGCACGCGCCAATCCCAGTCCGGCGCGCCCGGCTCTCGGCCAGCCTTCAAAGCCAGGGCATCTGAGACCTGCAAATGAAACATGGCACAAACGACCAGAACTGCTCTCTCAACTAAATCCATGTCTGTCACATCCTGGCCCTGCCTCGCAAATTGCAACTAGGCGCTCCACCATCAAGTGGTGGCTTAGCCTTTCCACGATATCCCTGAACTTCAGAAGGAAGGGCAAGACTTTCTCCCCGAGTTGCACCACCTGAACCTGAGCGTCGGACGAGCATGTAACGACAGAAGCAGCACGCAGCAGAACAGCAAACACCACCTTGCGCCACGTGGCAAGTTCATATGCGTCAGCATCAAGCTCGCTGCGCATAACTGGCTCAGGCGACTCAACAAAGTTTTCGTCACGAAGCCACACAGCATCCAAGAGCCAGTCATATTTCCTGTTCTGCATCTGCGTCGCTCTGTCCTGCACAGCAGCACATAAAGGAAGTCAGGAAGCCAGCAATTGCAAGACTATCGTCCACTCATTCTGTCCATTTTCTACCTTTACGTCCGACCTCTGAATTTGAAACCAATCCACTGCCACCGCAACCTTTCTGTGACTCGATATTTTTACCTCTGCTCTGGCCTTGCACACGTCAGGAAAGGTCGCAAACAGCACCTCTTCGGGAACCAAAGCCTTACGGATGCGGAACGTTGCCGCACTGTGGTCTTCGAACATGTAGAATTGAAGCCTGTCTCGCTGAAGTGTGGTCGCAAGCCCATTCGCATGGTGAAAGGTCCTGCAAAATTGTTTTTCATGACCAATGATCACTTTTTCATGCGCACGCACACACACTACAATAACATCAGTGCACCAGTCCTTTCCACACCAACACCTTTGATGCCGCCGCCAGCCGGTGTTAGGAAATTGATGAGCTCCTGTCCAAAGCGGCTGCCCGCGCATACATGAATTACAACCTGCATAGTGTTGCACGTGCCCTGCCTGCATACTCATCATTTGCGTGGTTGAAGTCCCTTTGGGCGGCGGCCCTCGTGCGGGGTGCACCGCCATGCCCCACTCATCAGGGCAGTAGACAACCTTGTGGTGCCGGCTTGCCATCTTGGCTAAAGCCGAAAAATTGCCAACGTAACGGCGAACAGGATTGTTGCCGTCAGCTTGTAGCATCGTGGGTGCCCCCAACCCATCGACCAACTTCACGAAGAAGTCCAGAAGATGCGTCTTCGCAGCTCCCCCGAGAGACACTACGCAGACAGCTTCCATCACGTCTACTTTCCTCTCTGTCTTGGCAGCCGCATCCTGCTCAAGGTGCGGGCCAAAGTCCTGCAAAGTTTCGAGCAGTTGCTTTGCCCAGGCTGGCAGTGCCTCTCCACTGTCACATGCTGCCCTCGGGGCGTTTGCCGTTGGATGGCATCTGAACCGGGGAGGATGAAGGAGGCCGGAAAAGACGCAATCCAACAACCACACTGCGAGAGGCGTGCACCCATAGCTACGAGCGATCTGGCACACTCGTGCCTCTGCCAGGACATTCAAGAACTGTTTGCCGTTGGTCCCGAAAGTCCACAGGCCGTCACACTCATTCTCATTCAAGTGCCTCACTGACAAAGCGGCAGCGATGCACATTCCCACCGACAGGTATACCTGCGCCCGCTACTCGCGGAACTTCAAACTGAGTTCCCGGCCCAAGGTCGTCTGAGCCCTCATTCTTCAACGCCGCCTTGAGAACAGCGCCGATAACATCTTCCATCTCCTGGTATCCACTGCCGCTGGTGAACACATCCGGTGAGTACAGCCATGCGACAGCTTCCGGCGCCAACGCTAACAGCGCGCCCTCATCAACCCCCTTTTCGCAGCACTTCTCCACAAGGGGAACTAAGCCGGTCAGCAAAGACCTCGCACAGACGTAACGTTCAAGATCTGCGAAGATAATTGGTCAGCCATTGTTGCCTGACAGCTGCTAAAAGTTTGCAATGCATGCATTAAGTTGCAAAAGTCCATGACATGGACCAGGCATTCTGAAGCAGACTACCCTGCACAAACAACCGCTGACCTTGTTATTTGCAGAAACGATATCCGATTTCCAATAAGGACACCCTTGGAGCGGCACAGTGGGACCAAATCATTCAACGCAATCCTATTGCTGCCAAGATGCTTGTCCGGCTGAATTTCAATAGCTTCCCGCACGTCGACAGGGGCTTTGTCTTCCGCCTCGCGGAGTAGGCACCGACGAACCTTCTCACTGTCGGGTGTCTGGTCGATTGCCGTAGGCGCCACACCCGGCGAACTGCCGAGTGCCCTGACATTTGCTGGCGAATGCGCGGAGTCGGACGCCATGGTAGGACTGGAACAGATGCTTTGCTCGGCAGGCTCTGTAGTTTGCAAGATGGCTGCAGCAGGCATTGCTATCACCAGGCTCGCCAGAAAACATTGCAATGACATGTTGGCTCCGGTCCAAGATCTTCGGATACCCAACACATCCATACGTTTTTATGCGCAGCCGCGATGCACCCCAACCCCCAGTGGTCCTATCTTACTTTCCTCAAGCTTAATGCGCACAACTCACAACGTTACGGCATCATAAATCGCGCGCCGCCACAAAGGCACACGCCATAGAAACCAATGCAGCTACAGCCAGCGATCTGCTGGGACGGGCTGCTGAGACCGATACCTTCACCTCCTCTGCGTGAATCGTCACAATCCGAAAATTCTTCTATCGGATCAGACCCTGCTTCGACACCATCCGAACACCCTCGTGTCAGATCTGCGTCTGCGCAGTCCGAAAATTGTTCTATTGGGTCGGAACTAACGCTCAGGTCTTGAAATCGACCCGGGTGTTCCGGACTCACGCTTAGCTGGTGCAGATCATACTCTTGCATGCCTCAGCACAATTAGACGGAACGCATGGACTGCACATGACTCTTCTTGAAGAATTTTAGAACCCTCTTGCCCCCACCTGGCAACGGTTGCTCCAAGTTGGCGGCACCAGAAGGCCAAGGCAAAGTTTCACTAGCACCTGACGACAGCTCTAAGCCCGTTGCTCCACACTGCTTCACCCATTTCTGCGTGCGCAACAGCGACTTTTTCTTCCTACTGCACGGGCCCTGCCGCTACACTGAGCACATCACGACCAGGTCCAATGCACACATCTTGTTTGCGTCTTCTCTTTCCCATTGGTGGCTGCATCAAGCACAAACTGCCTCTGAACAAGGCTGGATGTTACTTGGGTGCTAGGTGTACAGCATCATTCCATATAGCTGCATTCCCACCTACCCCAGCATCTCCTTGAAGAGCCGTGGCCTCCGTAGCGTCAGCCCCGTCGCCTGGAAATGCGACAAGACAACCGGAGGAGTTCAACAAAAGAAATTTCTTTGCAGACAAATCAACACGTCACCAGTGACACGCCAACCCACTCGCCTCCTGTCTCCGTTCCCACCAACTCGCTGTCACTGTCAATCTGAGTTGCTGTAGAACCTTCAGACGGCTTTGCTTTCGACGTCTTCCCGGATAATGCATGAAAATGCCTAATCCAAGGGAATTAAGGCATACGATTCCAAGTACCATACTGAGGTCTAAAGTGCAGACACCACCCATGCCTCGTCCTTGGGATCCTCCGCTGTTGGACAAAGAATCCAGCTGCGTTGGCTGTTGACCTGCTCCCACAAGTGTTTCTGATGCTAATGCTCACGCACATGTGGCCATGTTTGCAATTTCGCTGCCTTACAATCCTGCAGCATGGCGAGAAGCAAAGCATGAACTCACCGGCATGACGGCAGCAGCTTCGCACACAGCGACTTGCATAAGAGCTTACGTTCTTATTTCGCCTGGGTTTCTGTCAACAAAGTTATCGAAGTCATGTGAGATAATGCCAAAGCCACTTTATGAAACCATGCAATCATTCCATGCCTCCCATCTCCCTCCCCGTGATTTTCTCCGCTCATGGCGGAAATACCACCCGGCGAGCCTTGTTCTTCGAAGCATCCGGCACTGGACAAAGAATCGAGCTGCGTCGGCTGTGGACCTGCTGTCACATTATTTTCAATGTTGATGCACAGACCTGTACCTTACTGCAAGTTTGCCATTCCGCTCCTGCCGCATCGCCAGAAAGGCAACATGAAATCACCGCCATGACCGCTTCACCTCTGCAGCGCACATCCTTATGAAAGGTTCCTGGGCAAGAATTGCTGCAACTAGCTTGTGTTGCCCCACCGCCTCCACCACATTGCTGAACCTCGGCTATGAAAGCGCTGCGCTGCTAAGCAGCAGATACCCAAAAGCATACGCGAGATCTCTGGTTTCTACCTTGAATCCATATCTGTTTCAGGCCTCAGCCAACACGGTCTCATCTTTCGCCATGGACAGCCAGCGAAGCGCAGGGTTGCCCAAGGACATTCTAACTAGTGAGCCAACAGGATATGGATTCTTCTTTCTATACAGCACTCTGAATTCATCTCTCATCTTGCCCCCCTGGTTTCTCCAACGTCCTGCTGCCAGCAAACAACAGCTTCACCCATAGAACACAAGCACGCTCACACAGCTCCTGCTTTTACCCGCCCGCAAGTTTCTCGCACGGCGCAGCGCAGCTCCGCACTGGCCTGGCACGGAAAATCAGCTTGCTCAACATGCTCCCTCATGCGCAAACTATTTGAATCTTTGTCTTTTGCTCGCATTCATCAAGACAGCCAACTCCTGCAACACCAAGTGGCTTTCCCATTCATCCTCTCTACGGCCATTTGACCCTTGTGTTGGCGACGCACGACGCAAAGACCCGACGCAGGCGACACTGGCGACACACATCAGCATGCCGTGCCCCGATTGCAAGCACCAAGGCAAAACCTTCCCTGTGCTTGGCACGCGCCAAAGCATCCGCAAAGCATCAAAGAGCACTGCCCCTGCTTGCCAAGTGGGTATAAGGACAGTCGAAGAGAGTGCTCCGCTACCACCTCCGCTACCTCCGCTACCACCGCCCACACGCAAGGCGCTTCTGTCTTGCGTCCGAACAAAGCTAACCACGGACAACCGCACACCAGCACGCGAAGACAAAGAAAGCTCCGGGACACCGAGAGGCCCGTCCGCACCATGTCGCCAGCGTCCGACGCATCTGAACACTTGTTTCGACTGCAGATAGCATGCCGTCACTGGGATGAGGTTTGTCCCCAAGCAGCAGCAAAAAAAAGAGCACGTAGCATCACTGAACCTTCGTCACACAGCACTGCTCATGCTGCATGCCTGCCAAGTGCGCAAGACGGCTAAGGACAGGAGCCTCAAACGGGCACTGAAGAGACGGCTCCGCTACCTTCTCCGCGACCACATACCACACGCAAGATGCTTCTTGGTTACATCAGCTCTACTTTGCGCTTGTGTCAACCGCAGGACCAACAAAGCCAACAGCGCACAACCAGACGCAAGAACACCCAGGACAAAAAAGGCTCCACTACGCCAACGGACCCGTCCGCACCATGTCCCCAGCGCCCGACGCATCTCAACAGGTGTTTCGACTGCAGGAGCCGCAAACGGGCACTGAAGAGACGGCTCCGCTACCTCCTCCGCTACCACATGCCACACGCAAGATGCTTCTTGGTTACATCAGCTCTACTTTGCGCTTGTGTCAACCGCAGGACCAACAAAGCCAACAGCGCACAACCAGACGCAAGAACACCCAGGACAAAAAAGGCTCCAGTACGCCAACGGACCCGTCCGCACCATGTCCCCAGCGCCCGACGCATCTCAACAGGTGTTTCGACTGCAGGAGCCGCAAACGGGCACTGAAGAGACGGCTCCGCTACCTCCTCCGCTACCACATGCCACACGCAAGATGCTTCTTGGTTACATCAGCTCTACTTTGCGCTTGTGTCAACCGCAGGACCAACAAAGCCAACAGCGCACAACCAGACGCAAGAACACCCAGGACAAAAAAGGCTCCAGTACGCCAACGGGCCCGTCCGCACCATGTCCCCAGCGCCCGACGCATCTCAACAGCTGTTTCGACTGCAGCAACCGCACCCTCACCCCGATGACATGTCTTCAGTCGTTCCACAATTCACTTCAAATATAAATATTTATATATATATATATAGAGAGAGAGAGACATACATATACATTGATTTTAGCTCTTTTTAACTATTTATGTATATCTATATATTTTTGTTTTATGGATGTATACATATCTGTTCATTTATATATGTGTATGTTTGAAATACACTATCCTATAATATCTCTGTATTTACTGTATGATGACTGTTCTATTAAGAATAAATCATACGCTTCTATTTCTCACCAGCAAGGATCAACCACTTTAGTGGCCAAAATTGATTTGAACCCTGTGTCCGAGGGAATGGTAAACAATATTGAACAGTGTAGGGATACCAGCACGCTCAGGCAATCAATCATCTGGCATGAAGCAAGATTTCTTCCCATTTGCTTTGCAACACACAAAATGTCCCCAATACTGATCAAGACAGATATCTTTCCTGTCTCTCCTCCAGAAAAGTTGCTTCTTTTTTGGGGTTCCGTCTGTGACTACTACCCAAAGCACAGGTAGCACGCTTACTTGCAGGAACATAGTCAATAACATAGTGCAATTTTCGTACTTGCGTCCCCTTACTGACGCGATAGACACTTCACCTACGAATCCTATCTTCCAGTGCGACTCTGCAAACACAAGGGCCTTGATCCAAGGAAGAAGTGAAGCTGCGAAGCTTGAAGATTGCGATGCCTGCAGCCACACTGTGTGGAATAACCAGGCAATACATTTGCTGCATCGCTTTGGGCAAGGAACTTTGTAGTGGCCGACCGAAATGGAAACCAACAGCCGTCATTGTCAACGCCTGTCCATGAATGCAAATCTAACTGGGCCGAAAACAAATGCAACAAAGACAGCAAGGGGACCACAAACCAGTAGTTTTTGCGGAGTAGGTTTAGGGTGCAGCGCCTCCCCCATGCCCCCCAACAGCCTTACGACATTTATGTGGGATAATTAGTGTTAAAGGCGGAAAACAAGAACGACGACACCAGAGACAACAACAGAAAGAAGAAGGAAGAACAACGACGAGAACAACAATAACATGGCACAAAGGAAAAGAACAGAAAGGAAACGGATCAAAACCAAAACGATGTTCTTCCTGTGTTCTTTGGGGGGGAGGCGCTGCGCCCTCCCCCCCATGCCCCCCACCAGCCGTCGGAAATTTATGTGGGGTAATGTTTAAGGCACAATACAAGACAGACGACACCAGACACAAGAACAAGAAGAAGAAGGAAGAACAACAACGAGAACAACAATAACAAGGCACAAAGGAAAAGAAGCGAAACGAAACGGATCAAAGCCAGAACGCTGTTCTTCCTGTGTTCTTTGGGGGGGAGGCGCTGCGCCCTCCCCCCCATGCCCCCCACCAGCCTTAGGGAATTTATGTGGGGTAATGTTTAAGGCACAATACAAGACAGACGACACCAGACACAAGAACAAGAAGAAGAAGGAAGAACGACAACGAGAACAACAATAACAAGGCACAAAGGAAAAGAAGCGAAACGAAACGGATCAAAGCCAGAACGCTGTTCTTCCTGTGTTCTTTGGGGGGGAGGCGCTGCGCCCTCCCCCCCATGCCCCCCACCAGCCTTAGGAAATTTATGTGGGGTAATGTTTAAGGCACAATACAAGACAGACGACACCAGACACAAGAACAAGAAAGAAGGAAGAAGACAAACAACAACAAGACAGACGACACCAGACACAAGAACAAGCGACAACGAGAACAACAATAACAAGGCACAAAGGAAAAGAAGCGAATCGAAACGGATCAAAGCCAGAACGCTGTTCTTCCTGTGTTCTTTGGGGGGGAGGCGCTGCGCCCTCCCCCCCATGCCCCCCACCAGCCTTAGGAAATTTATGTGGGGTAATGTTTAAGGCACAATACAAGACAGACGACACCAGACACAAGAACAAGAAGAAGAAGGAAGAACAACAACGAGAACAACAATAACAAGGCACAAAGGAAAAGAAGCGAAACGAAACGGATCAAAGCCAGAACGCTGTTCTTCCTGTGTTCTTTGGGGGGGACGCGCTGCGCCCTCCCCCCCATGCCCCCCACCAGCCTTAGGAAATTTATGTGGGGTAATGTTTAAGGCACAATACAAGACAGACGACACCAGACACAAGAACAAGAAAGAAGAAGGAAGAACAACAACGAGAACAACAATAACAAGGCACAAAGGAAAAGAAGCGAACGAAACGGATCAAAGCCAGAACGCTGTTCTTCCTGTGTTCTTTGGGGGGGAGGCGCTGCGCCCTCCCCCCCATGCCCCCCACCAGCCTTAGGAAACAATACAAGACAGACGACACCAGACACAAGAACAAGAAGAAGAAGGAAGAACAACAACGAGAACAACAATAACAAGGCACAAAGGAAAAGAAGCGAAACGAAACGGATCAAAGCCAGAACGCTGTTCTTCCTGTGTTCTTTGGGGGGGAGGCGCTGCGCCCTCCCCCCCATGCCGCCCCACCAGCCTTAGGAAATTTAGTGGGGTAATGTTTAAGGCACAATACAAGACAGACGACGCCAGACACAAGAACAAGAAGAAGAAGGAAGAACAACAACGAGAACAACAATAACAAGGCACAAAGGAAAAGAAGCGAAAGGAAACGGATCAAAGCCAGAACGCTGTTCTTCCTGTGTTCTTTGGGGGGGGGGCGCTGCGCCCTCCCCCCCATGCCCCCCACCAGCCTTAGGAAATTTATGTGGGGTAATGTTTAAGGCACAATACAAGACAGACGACACCAGACACAAGAACAAGAAACAAGAAGGAAGAACAACAACGAGAACAACAATAACAAGGCAGAAAGGAAAAGAAGCGAAACGAAACGGATCAAAGCCAGAACGATGTTCTTCCTGTGTTCTTTGGGGGGGACGCGCTGCGCCCTCCCCCCCATGCCCCCCACCAGCCTTAAGAAATTTATGTGGGGCAATGTTTAAGGCACAATACAAGACAGACGACACCAGACACAAGAACAAGAAACAAGAAGGAAGAACAACAACGAGAACAACAATAACAAGGCACAAAGGAAAAGAAGCGACACGAAACGGATCAAAGCCAGAACGCTGTTCTTCCTGTGTTCTTTGGGGGGGAGGCGCTGCGCCCTCCCCCCCATGCCCCCCACCAGCCTTAGGAAATTTATGTGGGGTAATGTTTAAGGCACAATACAAGACAGACGACACCAGGCACAAGAACAAGAAGAAG